TTTCTCCAAATACCAAAAAAGGCAGTGAACAATGCATGGCAAACATTTGTCTGACATTGTGTTAGTGATGAGATTTCTGTGAAGACATCTCAAATTCATTTTAAGACTCATTCTTTCTACAGCTGTGATTTCTCCTTTTGTTAGCCGTCCAAAGAACATATACAGCAAGATTGTCATGATTATTAGGGGAAAATATGGTTAATGTTTTAAAGAGTAAAGATCTATACTTGCATGGCTGTGGGGTCAAGAACAGACAGTTCCTGAGTTTGACCTTGATAGATCTTTGGTACCTTATGAGAAATGGTTGTGCACTTTTCCCTTAAGCTCTATTTGATTTTGTGACTGTGGTGACTCCTGTTTCCCTGCAAAGCACATTAAAGAATAAAGCTCAATGTAAGCATAAGAGGAGGGATTTTGAAACAGTCTAGACTGCAAACTAACATTTTAAGCATCTAATTTTATACCACTCTTTTAATTCTTTGTTTTGTAAGTAGACACGTTTTATGGGCTTTTAATTGTGGTTTGTTTTGCTTAGTTTTGGGTTGGTGTTTTTTGTTTGTTTTTAATGCATTGCTAGCTGTTCAGAATTCATGAGTAATACTCTAAAAATAACCCTCAGGGTTGAACTTTATGGCGGCAAGTTCAGTTAAGTAGGGAAACAATTTCAAATTTCCAGGAGATTTTAGTAAAATCTGAGGGAAGGCTCAATTAACCAGTGAGAGTCGTCACTGTTGCCACTTGCCTATTTTGATAAGTATGGGTGAGCATCCTGGAGTGCCCCTTGCCAAAACCAAAAAGAACTGACTAAGGTTACTCAGTATCAGGTTTTTAGAGGGGCAGACTTTGGTCATGCAAGCAATAAAGCTTGCACTCTGACTCTTAAAGCTGCTCTTTAGTATAACCTAGTATTAAAAGGTGATAAAAATAATTTCTAATAATAGGTGATACCATTTGAATTTCTCATGCTGCTGTTAACAAAAAGCCCCATCACTTCATTAGCAAGTATTGTGGTACTCTTTAAGCTCTTGGAGAGGATTTGGGGGTTTTAGAAAGAAGAAGTCTTTCTGCACTCACTAAATCCAGTGCCACAGCTAATTTCATGGCATGGCTTTGACACATGCGGGAGCAGGGGCGCTGAGGGGACTCCAGCCCCGGCAAGCCCACGGCTGGCTCCCCTCCGGGGATGTGCAACCTGGAGCAGGCAGCACTTGGTAGGGGGATGGAGGGAGGTGAGCGGTGCAGACAGAGGCACAGCGGTCAGTGTAGAGAGGCTGGGCAGGAGATGGCATACAGAGAGGCAGGGGACTAATACACCTACTAACATCTGCCCTCATTAAGATCTATGCTTTCTAGTAGATTTTTTTTTTAATGGTTTGGTATCACTGATAGGTTTGGTATGTGACATCAACATGCTATCAGTGTACCACCCATCTCTAATATATATATATACATAGTAGCTGAATTAAAGAATGACTAATTAGACATTGTTCAAGAACTGCACTACCACAGTAACTCTGGAAAAACCTTAAATGTCTTGCTCTTGCCATGCACTGAATATCGCAATTTGAGATTGCAAAATTTGTACTCCTGACCTGACAAAAGTCTTTTTACTATTATTACTGTTACTATTATTATATGTGTATTATTACTATTATTCTTATATTTCTAACAGACAGCAGCAAACCAGATAATTACTTCCTCTTTTCTCTTACGTAATTGTTGTAAGAGATGTGTTTTCCTGTTGAATACCTACATTTAATCATATTCAATGTTTTATGAAAAGCAATAATTAACATAGTAATAGCCTCATTTCTTTGAATCAGTTAACCAAATGCATTCAGGAATTGCTAATTTATCTTGCTGCAATTCTTGTCCTAAGTGATCCTAGTGACTGTGCTGATATTACTCCATCTTAACTGCTAATCAGTTTTCGTTTCAATTAACTGATTAATGCAGTTACCTTTTCAGTCTTGCTGTTTTTTCCAAAAATTTCCATTTAACTAGAGAAAATATTATTGTTTAGAGTTAGAACATAAATTGCACTGTTGTGCAGCCCATCATCTTCCTCTTATTAAGTCTGACAGATATGCCAGTGAATGGCTGCAGAGAGCATGTGAGCTGAAGCATTGCTAAGTTAATTAAGAGCTCCATTTCAATAGATGGGAACAGAGGGTTTGTGGCTTTGAAGCAGAAGGTTTTAAGGTTTTTTTCCCCTGTTAACAATGATGTCCTGCAGCTGTTAAATTCATGTGGTTATGCCCCTATGTTCACTCAGCAGGATGGTGCTGAAGAAATCTAGACTGAAGAATGACTTCAGAAGGGGTCATTTCAAGTGTCAGAGAAGTGGATGGAATGAGGATCTTGGTCACCCTGTGTTTTCTGATGAGTAAAAGATTTATGCCGAGTAGTTAGTAAGCCTGTCCTGCCTCTAGAAATAGAGGTGCCCTGGGTATATATTGCAAAACAACCCACGAGAGGGCTCTGCCCCAGACTCCACCTCAGTCTTTGCAGCCTCCTGGGGAGAGCTGCTGCGTTCCCCCCATCAGGATGGCCAAGCTGGCCAGTGCTGGCCAGAGGGAGAGGTGGCCCAGAGCTGTGGCCAGG